TTCCTTTAGACCATAGAAGACTGAGGGGGGGATCTTCTTTTTTTATTCATTCACGAGGCGAGGGCATCGCTGACTAGACCAGCATTTATTGCCCATCCCTAATTGCCCAGGGGGCAGTTAAGAGTCAACCATATTGCTGTGGGTCTGGAGTCACATGTAGTCCAGACCAGGTAAGGATGGCAGTTTCCTTCCCTAAAGGACATTAGTGAACCAAGTGGGTTTTTCCTACAATTGACAATGGATTCATGGTCATCATTAGACTCTTAATTCCAGATATTTATTGAATTTAAGTTGCACCATCTGCCATGGTGGGATTCAAACCCAGGTCCCCAGAACATTGTCTGGGTCTCTGGATTAACAGTTCAGCGATAATACCATGAGGCCATCACCTACACCTTATTGAAATGTATAAGATCATGAGAGCCATGGAGAGGGTGAATGCACTTAGGCTTTCTCCCAGGGTTGGGGAATCGAGGACTAGAGGGCATCAGTTTAAGGTAAGAGGGGAAAGAATACTTGGGAGCCTGAGAGGCAACTTTTTTTACACAGAGGGTGGTACGCATATGGAATGAGCTGCCAGCGGAAGTGGTTGAGGTGGGTACATGAACAACATTTAAAAGGCATTTGGACAAATACATGAATAGGAAAGGTTTAGAAGAATATGGGCCAAGTGCAGGGAAATGGGGTTAGCGTGGATGGACATTTTAGTCGGCATGGACCAGTTTGGACAAAGAGCCTGTCTCCATGCTGTAGGACTCTGTGGCTCTATGGCAGGACTGATTGGAAGACCACACCTGCCCACGTGTCTCAGCACCACAATCAGATGAAGAGAAGCCTCAAACATTCAGATTTCCGTACCTATTTCCAAATCACTTTTGGAGAATACGAGCAATAACCACTCCTGAAGCTACCATTAAATCAAATCAATCAGCTAGCCTCTGAAAACACCAGCTCGGCAGCACATCTCATCAGGAGCAACAGATTATGAGCAAAGTGCTCAGTTAAACTGTTACCTCTTAGGATAATGGTGTGTATTCCAAAACTGCATTCTCTTCAGGGGACCCTTATTGAAACATACAAGGTTCTTGGGACTTGATGGGTTGATGTGGAGATGTTTCTTCCTGTTATACAGGAGTCTCAGACCAGAGGGTATCATCTCAGATTAAGGGTCACACATTTAAGACAGAGATGAAGAGAAATTTCTTCTCTCAGAGGGTAGTGAATCTGTGCAATTCTCACTACAGAGGGCCATTGAGGCTGGGGCATTCAAGGCTGAGATAGATTTTTATTCAATTAGGGAATCAAAGGTTATGGGGAAAAGACAGGAAAGTGGCGTTGAAGATTATCAGATTAGCCATGATCTCATTGAGTAGCAGAGCAGACTTGATGGGCTGAATGGCCTACTTCTGTTCCTATATTTTATTGTCTCTTGTTATTAGGATGTATATCAAACATTTGCAGTTCCTCAGATACTGAAGCAGTCCATGTTCAAATGCAACAAAATGTGGACAATATTCAGGCTTGGGCAAACAAATGGGAATTAACATTTGTACCACACAAATGCCAGGCCATCTCCAATAAGAGACTATTTAATCCCCACCCTTTGGCATTCAACGGCGTTACCATCACTGAATCCTCCACTATCAACTTCCTGGGGATTACCATTGACCAGAAACTCAACTGGATTCACCACATAAACACAGCGGCTACCACAGCAGGTCAGAAGCTGGGAATACTGTGGTGAGTAACTCACCTCCTGACTCCCCGAAGCCTGTCCACCATCTACAAGGCACAAGTCAGGAGTGTGATGGAATACTCCTCACTTTACCTGGATGAGTGCAGCCCTAACAACACTCAAGAAACTTGACACCATCCAGGACAAAATAGCCCGCTTGATTGGCACCACATCCACAAGTATCCACACCATCAGCACTCAGTAGCAGCAATGTGTACTATATACAAGATGCACTGCAGAAATTCACCAAGGATTCACAGACAGCACCTTCCAAACCTACAGCCACTTCCATCTAAAAGGACAAGGGCAGCAGGTACATGGGAACACCACCCTCTGCAAGTTCCCCTCCAAGCCACTCACCATCCTGACTTGGAAATATCGCTGGGTCAAAATCCTGGAACTCCCCGCTCCGAGGGCATTGTGGGTCTATCCACAGCACATGGACTGCAGCGGTACAAGAAGGCAGGTCAGCACCACCTCCTCAAGGGCAACTAGGGACGGGCAATAAATGCTGGCTCAGCCAGCGACATCTATACCTCATGAGTGAAGAAAAAGAAAATCCACATAAATCCTATCTGTCCCCTCTTGAATGTGATCCCACCTTTCCTCTGATGAAGTGGGCAGATCATATCTGCTGAAACTAGCTGAGGTCTAACAAGGTGTTTTTCACAGTTTCAGCATTTTATGTTCAGCCTGATCCAGGAGCTCTTGTGAGATTCAGAAGGATTCTGCAGGCCTTCAAGGTTTATAGATTGTGGCCAAAGCTCTCTCACTTTGCCCTTGAGTTGACCCACTGTTTGACTTTGGTGACTTGAGTCACAGTACAGCTGGTAGTGCCTGCTCACTGATTGTGCCAGCAAATGTCATGGGTAATTTACTGATGAATGCTGACATTCTACCACTTCACAAGTAAGGAGGTCAGCCAGGATGATTACACAAACTAATGCTTTCTGAACACGGGTGGAAAATTATTCAAAGGCTTTTCAAGAGGTGTCCCCTCATTTATTTGTCGGCAGCTTGAATACTGTCCCATTGAACACCCCAGCACTGTCTAATCTTACCACCCATTCAGATAGCCCTGCAGTGCCCTTTGAATATGTTAAATGTATGGGCTGGGACTTTAGCTGTTTGCTCCGGAGACAATCAGATTCATTGTCAAGCTGGCATTTAAGGCTAGCTTAAGAGTTCTCCAAATGACTTTTACTAACTTAAAGCCCCTCAGTCATTAGCTACAGCAGCTTAACACTTTGAGTGCTGGATCTACCTTAACTGGCCCCTAGTCAAACGAGTAGATTTGTGTCAATGTTTGTTTTGAACAAACAGTTACAACAAACAGACAGTTCTTTTTGATCTTCATATATGTCGACATTTCTTTCCATTCACCGCTCCAATGTGGAATCGCACACATTTGTCTGATACCATCCACTTTGTGTGACAGCAAGTTCCACATTCTTCTCACTCTCTGGCAGAAAAGAGGCTGCTCCTGAATTCTCAGCTGGATTTATGAGGAACTGTCTCAGATTAATGGCCCCAGGTTCTGGTCTCCCCCAACCTGAAATGCTTTCTCCCTGTCGACCCCATCAGGTTTTCAAAGGCACCTGTCAGGTTACCCCACAATAATCTCCTTTGGTGAGAAAAAGAATCTGAGTCTTTCCCAACATTTATATAAAGGATAATTATGTGAAGGATAGGGTTCCAAAGGCTGCGGGGAAAGATTTCAGCCTCCCTTGTGGGCATGAGGTCAACAGCAATTCACCTGTGTGTAAAAGATTTGATCAATTTTGAGGGCATTGAAACTGAAAGGTTGCAGAGAAGCTTTATGAGGATGTTGCCAATACTGGAGGGTTTGAGTTATAAGGAGAGGCTGGGACTTTTTTCCCTGGAGCACAGGAGGTTGAGGGGTGACCTTGTAGGAGTTTATAAAATCATGAGGGGCATGGAAAGGGTGCATAGCCAAGGTCTTTTTCCCAGGATAGGGGAATCCAAAACTAGAGGGCATAGGTTTAAGGCAAGAGAGGAAAGATTAAAAAGGGACCTGAAGGGCAACTTTTTCACACAGAAGGTGGTGTTTTATATGGATTGAACTGCCAGAGAAAGTGGTAGAGGCAGATTCTATAAGAGGTTTCAAAAGACAGCTGGATTTGTATCTGAAAGTGATGAATTTAGAGACCTACAGAGATCAGGCCAGAGAATAGAAATAGCTGAGTAGCTCTTTCAGCAGTCGGTGCAGATAAGATGGATTGAATGGCCTCTTTCAGCACTGTAAAATTGTTTGGTTTTATGAGATTAATCCTCTTCTGCTGTCCTCAATGGCCCAGTGGTATTACCACTAGGTTACAGATGTTCTGGGGACCTGTGTTCAAATCCTGCCATGCTAGACGGTTGAATATAAATTCTAATTAAAATATCTGAAAGTAAGAGTCTAATGATGACCATGAAACGACTGTTGAGGAAAACTTTTCTCTGTCACTGATTTTCTTTAGGGAAGGAAACTGCTGGCCTGCATGTGACTCCAGACCCCCAGCAAGGTACTCCCTGAGCAATAAATGTTGGCCTGGTCAGCAATGCCCACCTCCAACGAGTGAGTAAATATTAAAAACCAACACTTTCCTGCTCTGTCCCTCAGCCCTGGGCAGCTCCTAATTTCAAGATATAATACACTCAATGTCCACTGTTCCCTAAGGAAGAGGTTTACGAGTCAAAGTATTTTCTTTCAATGAAATGGCATTGCTCTATCCTGAGGCTGTCAGCTCATGTTCGAGACTGTCGAACCAGAGGAAAAAGATTCTTCACATCTAACATTCGAATTCAATATGTCTCAATGACAGTGCGGTACTCTCTCAGTACGATGCTGTGACAGTGCAACACTCCCTCAGCACTGACCCTCCGACAGTGCGGCACTCCCTCAGCACTGACCTTCCGACAGTGCAGCACTCCCTCAGTACTGACCCTCCGACAGTGCGGCGCTCCCTCGGTACTGACTCTCCGACAGTGCGGCACTCCCTCAGTACTGACCCTCTGACAGTGCGGCACTCCCACAGCACTGACCCTCCGACAGTGCGGCACCCCCTCAGTACTGACCCTCTGACAGTGCAGCACTCCCTCAGTACTGATCTTCCGACAGTGCGTCATTGGGATTTGGGAGTCTTGTGAGATGGAATGGAGATATGGTGACAATCTCATTCTGGAGTTAAATTGGACAGCAGGGACAAACCAGAAAAGAGCTAAGTGGGCTGTGAGCTCAGTGTTTATCTGTCATACTCACCCTCGCTCCCCGTTTCCCAGGAGGACCCATTGCACCAGGTGGGCCTGGAGGACCCTGCCATGAGAAAGAAAGATTAATAAATCACAGAATTATTATGGTGCAGAGGAGGCCAATTAGCCCATCATATATGATGTACAAAACTAAATTAATATTCACCAGAAAGAAATTTTACAGCACCAAAACAAGAAATTCAGCTCAACTTATTTTGTTATTCATTCATGGGATGAGGGCAATGCTGGCTGGGTCAGCATTTATTGCCGATCTCCAATTGCCCCTTGAGAAGGTGGGGGTGAGTTGCCTTCTTGAACTGCTGCAGTCTATGTGCTGTAGGCCGACTCACAATACCCCTAGGGAGAGAATTCCAGGATTCTTACCCAGTGACACTGATATATGGGATGGTGAGTGGCTTGGAGGGAAACTTGCAGGGAATGGTGTTCCCATGTATCTGCTGCCCTTGTCCTTCGAGATGGAAGTGGTCATGGGTTTGGAAGGTGCTCTTTGAACGAACTACTGAGCCATTTGTCGCTAGAACAAAATCCTGGAACTCTCTCCTTAATGGTATTGTGATACTTTAATAGATGATGACCCAGCCAGTGATCCCCACATCCTATGAATGAAGAAAAGTGATTTGTAAACATGAGTTCTTCCAAAACCCAGCTAGATGTTTCTTAACATTCAGTAAATTCTGTTCCATTATCACCTTTTGTACGTTCTGACTTATGTTGACTCCCAATCAGGCAGTGTGTTGACTTTAAAATTTTCATCCTTGTTTCAGATCCCTCTGTGGCCTGGCACTTCCAGATCTCTAGAATCTCCTCCATTCCCAAAATCCCCCAAAATATCAGCCCCCTGATAATTCTGACATGTTGAGTTTGCTCACTATCGATGGCTCCACATTGGAAACCACATCTTCAGTTGCCTGGTCCCCAGGCTGTAGAAATGCTTCCTTAAACCTGTCAACTGTGCTACGTCACTTTCTGTTCTTAAATCAGATCTTTAAACATACATCTTCAATCAAGCCTTTGGTCACCTAGCCCAATGTTTCCTTATGTGGCTCAGTGTATTTTATAATGCTCCTGCCATACGCCTTGGCTATATAATTCTAAGCTGTTGTCTTCGTCTAGAAAGGTTTCTTTGTAATTGAAACCACATCAGTTCTGACAAAATCTTTTCAAGAGCTTTGAAAATGTCTTGAAAGTAAGAAATCAAACAAAGTTGCAGTTCTTCAATCAAAAATGAACACAAGAAAAGAGGGCCAATCAGCCCATCAAGTCTGATCCTGAGCATCCAAATTGCCCACACTCTGATTCACTCCAACAAGTTCCAAAACAGCAGTAAAATAGTGCAGATGCTGCAAATCCTAAACTAAATGGAAACAGAAGACACTGGAAACACTCAGCTGGTTCAACAGCTTCTGTGAGAGACAGATGAAACGCTTGACATACTGTGGTTATTTCACTAGACAAGAGACGTCTAGACTAATCATGTGGCAAGGGTGAGTTAAATGGCAGCTGGAAAATCTCAATTCAGTCCATTAAATAAATTTGGAATAAAACACAAATCTCAGCAAATGGTTACTGTCAAAGTACTGGATGGTGTCTTTAAATAAAAACATCTGGGTCACAAATATCCTTTTGGGAGGGAAATCTGCCATCCATACCTGGTCTGGCTTACACATGGCTTCATACCCACAGTAATGTGGGTGAACCAAACCCAGAAATGTCCCAGCAAGCCTGTCAGGTATAGTTAAGATGATAGCCCAGGACCACCTCCATAACAGCAGCAATTAGTGGCCTTTTCCAGTGATCCTTCTGCTCTATGCAGAAGGGATTAACAAAATTCTGCTCTTCTCTCTCTCTCGTTCCACACACTGTGCAGAGAGTTACTGGAATCTTCTAAATGCGTTGTCTCCACCAGCACAGTTAAGGAAACAGCAAGCAAAGCCCGATCATTTAGAAAGTTCAGCGTCATTTTCCACTGGGAGATTCTGAGGAGTATGGTCAGAGTGAGTAGAAAGCAGCCATTCCGCTTAGTTGAAGGGTCAATAATAAGGGGGCATAAAGGGCCCTCCTGTGGCCACAGTGGTAGTGTCCCTACCCCTGGACCGGGAGGCCCACGTTCAAGTGTCACCTGCTCCAGTGGTGTGTAATAACATTTCTGAACAGGCTTATTAGAGTGGCGTGGTGGCTCAATGGTTAGCACTACTGCCTCACAGTTCGATTCCATCCTCGGGCAACTATCTGTGTGACATTTGCACATTCTCCCCGTGTCTGTGTGGGTTTCCTTCAGGTGCTCTGGTTTTCGCTGCACAGTCCAAAGATGTGCAGACTAAGTGGTTTGGCCATGCTAAAATGCCCATAGTGTCCAGGATGTGCTGGCTAGGTGGGTTAGCCATGGGGAATACAGCGTTGTGGGGATAGGGTAGAGGGTGTAGGTATGGGTGGGATGCTCTTTGGAGGATTGGTGTGGACTCATTGGGTAGAATGGCCTACTTCCACATTGTAAAGATTCTATGATTCTAAAAGTAGGTAACTAGGGAGTACAATTTTAAGGCGAAAAGCAGGAGTTTTAGAAGGGATTTGACGAAAGTGTTTCTCACCCAGAGGGGTGGTGGTGGTGGTGGTCTGGAATTCACCGCCGGGGAGGATAGTTCAGGTGGGAAACCTCACAGCCTTTAATAAGCAGTTGGATGAGCATTTGAAATGTCATAACATTGAAAGCTGTGGACTTAGTGCGGGAAAGTGAGATGAGTGTAGATTTACTCTAGCTTTGGTGGCATAGACTTGATGGGCTGAAGGATCTCTTTTCTACTGTACAAATGATTCAGTAAAACAGCTGATTGATGCAGGAAAAGCAACAAAGTTTGCAATTACATAGCAGCTTTAGTATAGCAAAGTATTCCAAACGTGAGAATCTGTATTAAGCTCCATCCATCCTTATGATGTCATACAGTCCTGGCTGGGGAAATGGTGAGATTAGCTCTGGATCTCAAAGGGAACAGATGTGTCATCAATGTTTCCCAATGTTTTAGCAGCAAAGTCTAACCTGTTAACGTAGCTTGTATATAGTCACTATCATGCAATAAAACTTCATCTTGTTTCAGACAAGAGCATCTTGTCGTTATGAGAGAAAGATTGCAAAAGCAGAGTATTTTGGCAGGAAGAAAGAACAGAGTTTTCCTGAAATGGAGAAGGACTGCAGAATGCCAAAGCGCAAAGAGATTGGGATGTTCAGGAGTCTGAGTCACCAAAGGTCAGTAAGTAAGTACAGTACATATTCAAGAAAGCCAATGGAAAAGTTCCAATGGGCCAAATTTTCAGTTGTTTCAGCGGCGGGAGTCCGGGAGGAAGCGCGAGGGCAGCCTGGGAAGGTGAGCTTTTCGGTTATAAAAGTCTTACCTCGCGTGACTCCATTTTTGGACTAAGTGAGGTAATATATTTGGGCGGTTGCTTTACCCGAAACACTACCTAGGTAGTGTCTCCCACCCATCCTCCTCCTCTAACCAAACAAAAAGGTTCTGAGCGCTGATTTGGTAAGGCTACTAGTTTTTTTTTATTTGTCTGTTTGGGAATTCAGAACAGTGGGAATGGATGTTAGGGCAGTTGTATGCTCCTCCTGTAGAATGTGGGACGTAAGGGTCACCACTAGTGTCCCCACTGACTTCATCTGCGGGAAGTGCACCCAACTCCAGCTCCTCAGAAACCGTGTTAGGGAACTGGAGCTGGAGCTGGATGAACTTCGGATCATTCGGGAGGCTGAGGGGGTAATTGAGAGGAGTTACGGGGAGGTAGTCACACCTCAGGTACAGGAAAAAAGTAGATGGGTTACAGTCAGGGGACGGAAAGGGAACAGGCAGACAGTGCAGGGATCCCCTGTGGCCATTCCCCTCAAAAACAAGTATACCATTTTGGATACTGTTGGGGGGGACGACTTACCAGGGGTAAGCCATGGGGTACAGGTCTCTGGCCCAGAGTCTGTCCCTGTTGCTCAGAAGGGAAGGGGGGAGAGGAGGAGAGCATTAGTCATTGGGGACTCCATAGTTAGGGGGACAGATAGGAGATTCTGTGGAAACGAGAGAGACTCGCGGTTGGTGTGTTGCCTCCCAGGTGCCAGGGTCCGTGATGTCTCGGATCATGTTTTCGGGATCCTTAAGTGGGAGGGGGAGCAGCCCCAAGTCGTGGTCCACATAGGCACCAACGACATAGGTAGGAAAAGGGATGGGGACGTAAGGCAGAAATTTAAGGAGCTAGGGTGGAAGCTTAGAGCTAGAATGAACAGAGTTGTTATCTCTGGTTTGTTACCCATGCCACGTGCTAGCGAGGCGAGGAATAGGGAGAGAGAGCAGTTGAACACGTGGCTACAGGGATGGTGCAGGAGGGAGGGATTCAGGTACCTGGATAATTGGGGCTCATTCTGGGGTAGGTGGGACCTCTACAAACGGGATGGTCTACACCTGAACCAGAGGGGTACCAATATCCTGGGGGGGAAATTTGCTAATGCTCTTCAGGAGGGTTTAGACTAATTCAACAGGGGAATGGGAACCTGAATTGTAGCTCCAGTGTACAGGAGGTTGAGAGTAGTGAGGTCATAAATAAGGTTTCAAGGTCGCAGGAGTGTACCAGCAGGCAGGAGGGTGGTTTGAAGTGTGTCTACTTCAATGCCAGGAGCATCCGGAATAAGGTGGGTGAACTTGCAGCATGGGTTGGTACCTGGGACTCCGATGTTGTGGCCATTTCGGAGACATGGATAGAGCAGGGACAGGAATGGTTGTTGCAGGTTCCGGGGTTTAGATGTTTCAGTAAGATCAGGGAAGGTGGTAAAAGAGGGGGAGGTGTGGCATTGTTAGTCAAGGACAGTATTACAGTGGCAGAAAGGACGTTTGATGAGGACTCGTCTACTGAGGTAGTATGGGCTGAGGTTAGAACCAGGAAAGGAGAGGTCACCCTGTTGGGAGTTTTCTATAGGCCTCCGAAAAGTTCCAGAGATGTAGAGGAAAAGATTGCAAAGATGATTCTGGATAGGAGCAAAAGTAACAGGGTAGTTGTTATGGGGGA